GGGGGGGGGGGGGGGGGGGGGGGGGGGGGGCGTAGTCTTACGTTTTGCATGCCTTAGCGGTTAGACCGTTGACCACGCGTGCCCGAGAGGACGGAGCTGAGGGGGGGAAAAGGCCAAGGGTCGAAATATGTTCACGACAAAGTCAGAGTGATTTACGAGGAGGAGAGAATGGCACCCCGCCCAAGACCGAGGTCGATTGCTCCACAGCCAAGAGGGCGTAGAAAGAGGGCGTAGAAAGAGCCCAATATTTCAAGCGGAAAGCCCCCGACGACATGTTTCCACAACCTCAATTTCTGGTGCTGGCACAATCAATATTGGTTGTGGGACAACCGAGCTTTTGGAAGTCGGTCTCGGGGGGGGNGGGGGGGGGGGGGGGGGGGGGGGGGGGGGGGGGGGGGGGGGGGGGGGGCACCTCTCCGCCCGAGACAGGGCTTCTAAACAGTTTGAGGGACGCCTGGTCGTCTACCCAACAGAGAAAAGTCGGGGGAAATCAACAGGTCAACAGCAGTGCAGAGTGGTACGCAGAAGGGCACCAGGGAGGCAACGCCAGTCCAACGTCTCAAACTAATTGTCAAAGCGTCTCTCGAGCACGCGAGGGACCCCCCAAGCACGTACTGGGCTGGCCACACCCTAATCGCCATCCGATGTCGCTAGATGTAGTAGTGACGTGAAGGCACGACTACTTGGGAGGGTGGAGAAGAGAGCATATTTTTCAGCCTTCAAGGCAACAACAACAACAACAACAACAACAACAACAACATCGGCAAGCACAGCCAGCGCCTCAAAAATGGCGAACAGAGGAACGAACCGCTTGCGCAGACAACACCAACGCTCGCTACCGCCACACACAACTGACAACCCACGCGAGTCAGGCCCGGAAAAAAAGGTCATCCTCCTCCTCCTCCTCCTCCTCCTCCTTCTCCTCCTCACTTGACGTGCTTGTTGGTGTCCAGCACCCCGGCGAGCGGCAGCATGGAGCCCGCCCCGAAGTCTCTCGTCGGCTGCAACACGTCCCACTCCGTCTTGAGCGAGATGACCACGCTCGGGTCCACCTCGACCTGCTCCGACCGCCGTCGGAAAAGAAAACGTCGCTAACGTCACAAGCAATCTTCCTTAGTGACAAGCACCTACACAGTCCGTTGCGCGTTGCTATTGGAAGCGGAGGGGACTTCGTGAGAATCCCGCCCTTACATACAATTACTGCGTGTTTCCATTAGGAAGGGGGGGAGTTCATGAGACCCCTATTGTCCAGCATCGTCAAGAAGCCCCAGGAGTCTAATGCTTTGCTGTGTTGGAGGGAAAACCGGATGAGGCCGACAAAACGAACAAGCGCATTTTGCCGCATGCAGAGCACAGCAGCAGTCGTAAGGCTAGCGCACGCAACGACTTTCCCCCGCCTGCGCCTGCCAGCATGCGCCAAGAGGTCGACAGCGTGCATACCATTTTTTGCTTTGCGTACTGCGAGGAATATTTTTACGCGAAGGCTGCGTTTCCCAGCTTTTTTTTGACATGGTTATTCTCCCATAGGCAATGAATTCTGCACTTGCGG